TCTTCCACGCAAAAATCTGAAATGTGCTAGTCTTCCACGCGATTAGTGAAATGTGCTAGTCTTCCACGCGAGAATCTGAAATGTGCTACTTTTCGACGCGAATAATGAAATGTGCTAGTCTTCGACGCGAATAGTGAAACGTGCTAGTCTTCCACGGTAATTTGAGATGTGCTACTCTTCGTTGGGAGCGACGATATAATGAAAACATAAATTTTTTTTGCTCATTTCTACTTAGGGCATGATTTTCGTTTGTTGGGACTCGATTTTGTTAAATACATACAAACTGTTATGAAAAAAGCATCCATTGATTCAAAGCCATTTGGTGCTTTTAGTATGGTAAAACGCTTTTTTCCAAGTTTTTGGCGCTTTTTGAAAATTAAAAGTTGGCAACACTGGAAAAACGGCAGCCAAATCATTCACTTTTTTCTTATTTCTTCTATTCTGTTCTATTCTTTTTTCTTTCAATATCATACATGCCGAAGTCAAAGCACAACAAAATCAATTTAAATAAAAAAAGGATCAGTCCAGCGCCTTCGTCTTGACCTGCATGCTGTGTCGGAGTCACGGCCACTGAACTTAAACGTAGAATACGTGATATTATTAAGATCACATTCACGTTAAAAACGGTACATGAAATATTCGGTTTGATTGTATTGAATTGAATTTACAAAATACTAATTCTTAGCAATAGAAAAGCAGATCCACATGAACTTCAACCATATGTACCATCAGCATATAAACAGATACAATATGCAATGACGTGTATCATTTAGGGCTGTGCGATTAATTGATTATTCAAAATTTTAATTAATCACAAAGTAAATAACTCAATTATTCGATTAATTGGAAATTATGATTACTCAAAAGTTCAGTTACTCGAGTAATCCAGATTTGATATTTGAGTAACTTGCTTTATGATTAATCAACATTTTGAGTAAAATGAGTAATCAACATTTCAAACTACTCTTTACATATAAAGTAGTTGAAGTTCTTTGATTCCTTGAAAACAACGTTTCTGTTTTCAAAAATTTGAAATGAATTTTTTTTTTCATATACAAAAAGCAAAAAGCAAATAAGCATTTTCCAAAGCAAACTCTTTTAACGAGCAAAATTAATTTTTTTGAGTAACCATATGTTAAGTAACTCGATTAATCATCGTTTTGAGTAATCAAAATCTTGATTACTCGAGTAATTGATTAACCGAATAATTGGTTAACTAACTTGCTCGAGTAATCGAATAATCGCACTCCCCTAGTATCATTATTTCGATTCATTTTTATATTCTTTCATACTGGAGAAATTTGTATTACTTTTTATATTAGCTTAGGTCCCCGTATTAGTATTCTTCTTCGAGTTCATGCTCGTCTTCGCATTATCTTCGTCTTCGGATTTGTGCACAAGTTAGCTAAGACTTCTGAAATAGCTGGCAACTCTCCTAAATATAGTTAAGAAATAAACAAATCTCAAATCTGATATTGTGATACCTACATAAATATTTCAAGTGCCTGATGAATTAAGTTAAATTTGATTTTTTAAATATGTGACAACGCTCCTAAATACAGTTCAGAAATAAAGCCTTTTTAAACCCATTTCATTTGATACCCATATTTCTAATAACTGCTTTAACTTATTAAATATTTTGAGTTTACGTTTTTTCCAGGTGGCAATAATCTAAATATTTAAACCAAGGATATCTTTACGTAATATTTTTATAATACTAGTAAACCCGCATGGCGTCAAAACGCCAACAGTTAATTAAATTTTTTAAAGAGGTGAAACCCGATCCAAAAACCTCTAAAAATATTCCTTATGATTAATCTAAACCATTTCTAAGTAATGAGAGGTCTCGCATGGTGTCGGTATTCATTTCATCAAATTTCAAATCTCCCTGTACCGCTGAAAAGGTTATAACTTCAAAAAATAAAACTTGTGCACATCTATATAGAATTACAGATCTTTAATTTCACTTCTCTCTTTGGAAATTCGAAATAACGGCGCAGATGTGATATCCTTCAAAAAAATAGATGACAACCCTAATTAAAGATATTATCTGCCTAAGGTTTTCTTAAAACTCTTTCGTTTGACACTAATATTTCTATATTTCATCCATGTATCTTGCGTATAAGTAAAACTAATTCGACTTTTCAAACCGGTGGCAACACCTTTAAAAGTATTTTCAAACTAAAATCTTTCGCCTGGCATTGTTATATATATTTCAATTAATTGATGAATTAAGTTGAATTTAATTTTTTTAAGCACTGTTCTAAATTGTCAAACTAAGTCTTTCTTGAAGCTCTTTCATATGACATCCATTGTTAAAATATCATATAACTTGGGTATAAAATAGTTCAATTTGACTTCTCAAATAGGTGGTGTTATATAGGCCCGAATTGTGCTGAGTTGATTTGCAGACTGACTGCAATGCGTTTATTTCATATTCACTTAGATTGACATTTCATTACATTTGTGTGTGTATATGACACCTCTCCCGGACTTATTTAAATGAAATAGTATTAGAAGACTTAATCTAAATACAATATGAGAATCGAATATTCCATTTAGTACATTACATATATGTGCAAAGGTACGTAGATACATATGTATTTACTTTATATACTTATGAGTTATAAATTTAATCTCTCAGGAGGTTTCCGTGTACGTTTGGAACGACGAATCGCTTCTTCGTTGGCGGGATCACTCTCTATAGCAATGTGTTTTCCTACTCTGCTTTCATTTAGTTGTTGTGGATTTGTGGCGTTTGTCGTTTGTGGTTGTGGGGTTGTACTTTCGGTATTAGCATTTGTTACTGCTGGCCTACCAATCTCCGCAGGTTTATGAGGAATTCGCGGATCATCTGAACATGGTTTTTGTTGCTGAATTGACTCGTCTACATTTGCTTGCCTTGGCAGTTGTGAACCTACTTTTCGCATTTGATCAACGTGTCTTTTCCACAACCGATTGTCGTCTAACACCACGTTATAGTGCAATTCGCCTGCGGCTCAACTACCTTACCAAATCGCCTTTTATCGCTGGCTAAATAATCCCGTACAGCAACTCTCTCTCCCACTGCAAATGATTTAATGGTACGCACATATTCCGTATTCTCTGTAGTAGTTAGTGGAAGCATCAAGTCTAGGCGCGATTGGATTTGGCGCCCGAACATCATCATTGCTGGTGACTCTTTAGTTGCTGGATGCATCGCTCGGCGATAAGCCATTAAGATTGTAGAAAGTATATGGTGCAACGACTTTTGCTGACATCCCTTGGCTTTTAACTTGTTTTTAACCGTTTGTACAAATCGCTCTGCCTGCCCATGTGTTGCTGGGTGGTAAGGCGCACCCTGCTTGTGGACAATGCCATTGTTTTTTAAAAACTGCTTAAACTCTCTTGAAGTGAACTGTGTGCCATAATCGCTGACGAACACTCTTGGTAACCCAAATCTTGAAAATATTTCTCCACATAGCCTTACTGTTGTCTCCGCCGTCATGTTATTGACGATGTGAACTTCAGGCCACTTGCTTAGTGCGTCCACCAGCACAAAAAGGTATTTTCCCATGAACGGGCCAGCATAATCTGCGTGAACTCTTTCAAAAACTTTATTTGGTAGCAACCAACAATGTACTGGCACCGCAGTTGGATCGGGACGATTTGATTGACATGTCGTACAATTTGATACCAAGTCCTCTATGTCCTTGTCGAATGGGTTCCACCAGCAATATGCGCGTGCTAATATTTTCATTTTGGTTATGCCAAAATGTCCCGTGTGTAATTCCCCTAATACCCTCTTGCGCAGTCCCTTCGGAATGAACACTCTCATCCCTCGAAACAAGCAACCCCTTTGCAAAGAAAATTCTGACTGGGCTATACCGAAACGAAATGACGGTTCACAATCGCGGCCATATTATAAACATTCTATGAGCCTTTTCACTTCATCCGCCTTCTTAGTTTCCCCACTTAATTCGGTTACTGTTACCGGCAAGTTTTCAATTACCTGCGTCTCGATGACGTCCACCTCATCGATGTTTTCGTTGACATTGGCGCACGGCAGGCGCGATAGTGCATCAGCATTCGCATTTTCGCTACTTTTCTTTACGGGTTTTTCGTACTCAAATGATCCTAAGTAAATTGCGTAATGCTGCATTCTTGTGGCAGACAGGGTTGGCAGTCCCTTATGTGGCGAAAATATCTGAGCTATAGCTTTGTTGTCGGTGACTAAGATAAATTTCCGGCCAAATAAATATTGGTAGAATTTTCGCACACCAAATGTAATGGCGTACGCCTCTCGATCCACTTGGCTATAACGTTGTTGAGTCTGATTCAACGTCTGCGACGCGAACTGTATAGGTTTCTCTGTACCGTCTTTATAAACGTGGCTAAGTACTGCCCCCACCCCAATCGGGCTCGCATCCACAGCTAGCACAATGGGTAACTGCGGATCATAGTGTGTTAACACTATATCGGATTCCATTAGCTGTTTAATCGGGCTGAATGATTTCTTACAATCCGCGTCATAATGAAACGGTATGTCTTTGCGTAGTAATCTATTGAGCGGGTACATCACCGTGCTCAAGTTTCTTATGAATCGCCCATAATAATTTACAATACCTAGAAATGATTTTACCTCATCTTTAGTCGTTGGCTGTTTCATATTGCGAATGGCATCTACCTTGCTACTCGTCTTACGTATTCCACCTTTATCGATAACATAACCGCAATACTTAATGCTATCTTGTAAAAATTCCGACTTTTGCAGATTCACTCGCATGTTATGCTGATCGAGTCTGCGCAACACTTCTTCTATTCTTTGTAGGTGCGTAACGTTGTCCTTGGCAGTGATTCTGATGTCATCCAAAAAGACTTTAACTCCCGGCAAGTCGCCTAACAGCTGTTCCATAAACCGCTACCACTTTGCTGGCGCCGACGCGATACCAAACATCATTATTGTCGGTTGATACAAGCCTTTGTGTGTATTGAGGGTTAACAAGTGTCTATCGTGTGGATGGATCTCTAATTGCAGATACGCTTTCGATAAGTCTATTTTAGAAAATTTGTTTCCCCCCGCCATTGAGCAAAATAACTCATCGATTGTCGGGAGCGGGTGTTCATCTACAACCAACTCAGGATTTAAAGTGATAATCTTACAGTCCCATCTTTTTTGGGAACAACCACAATCGGTGTAGCCCACTCGCTTTTTTCTACCTTAACCAACAAACCTTCCTCCACTTGATTTTCTAATTCCCTTTCAAATGCGCTCATCAATGGAAATGCCACCCGCCTGGGCTTAATAAATTTCGGCGTGGCGCTCTGCTTTAAATACAATCGGGCTTGGTGCCCTGTAATCTTACCCGCTGTTGGCCAGAACAGTCGTGAAAACTTATCAATAATGTTTTTTAGTTGCCCTCCTCGCTGACCTGCATTATAGCATTTACGTTTGCCGAAGTCCTTAATTGTTCTTTTATTATTTGCGGCCAATTCAATGGAATCTCTGGAAGCCATTCTCTACCAAGGAGGGGATTGCGATCACCTCGAACGATGTACATTTTCACCCGCTTTGATACCACCGTGACCCACACGAAACCCAAACAGTCCAACGGAGTTTTACAATAGCTAACAAATTATGTATCAGTCGGTTTTACTTTACAGTGCCCAAAATGCTTTTTGGCGTCGGCCAAACTTATTATTGTTACCGGAGCGCCGGTGTCGATTTCGAACAAAATCATCAGGCCATTTACGGCTACCATGCTCATTATTTTCTTTCGTTTCGATTCCGCATCTCCATTACCGCCCCCGCTCACTTTGAACAACTCCTCCACAACTTTTTCTTGTGTTATTTGATTTAGCGTTCTCTTTCTTTTAAAGCACATTTTCCTCAAATGACCTTTCTTCTTACAGCAATGACAAATTGCCTCTTTATATCTACATTCGTTTGCCTCGTGGGAAGTGTTCCCACATCGAAAACAACTCTTCTCTTTACCTTCTGATTTTGGTTTCTCTTTATTTGCGCAGTTTTGTGTTCTGTCTTTGCTTTGCTTCTCCTCCTTCTTGTAGTTAAGCTTATTAACTTCACCTAGAGGTACCTGTTTTTGCAGTTCACCTCCTTCTCTTTCTGCTAATTCATATGCACATGCTATTTGAATTGCGTCAACCAAGGTTACAACTTTTTTTCCAGCAATCTGCTTTGGATCTTCGGGTTTTGCAAACCAAAAACAAATTGATTCCGTAATGGCCGGTTTTCACTATGTCAAATTCAATGCCACATTTTGTCAAATTAATGGAAACGCTTGCAATTCGGTGCCATTGCCATCTTTTGTCAATCGATGACAAAAGTTTTAATAACAGAATGGCAACTCAGTGAAAACACCACAGTTTGTGCTTGTCAATCAAAATATTGTCAAATGGCATCACAAATCAAATTGACAACCTGTTGACATTTTCCCGCATTTTTTAAGAATAAACATACAAAGCAGCGGTGAGATACTAATTGTGCTATTTTTGCAATACATTGGTAAGAGTTTGTTCTTTTAATAAAAACTATATCTGCTGTTTGAATTGCAATACTGTAATTACCAGTAAAGGAAGAAAGCTACGAAATCATCGCATCTGCATCCCAAGATAGCAGACCAGCAAAGAAGAGAATCCGGAAACTCGAAGAAAAATGGACAAGCGCGGAGACGGAGAAATTGATCGAGCACGTACAGCTAAGAGAAGGAACCTGGAATATTCTTACTACAACTTATAAGGATCGAAAGTTACGGGAGGCGCTCTGGAAGGAGATAGCTGGCGAAATGAAGATGGCACCGTCCGAAATAAAAAACAAGTGGAACAGTTTGCGTTGCTCCTTCCGGGTATGTATCCACGGTCGGAGACATTTTATATTTCATTGTTTAAATGCATACATGCTATCTATGTTTATTACAGACAACTTTAAACAAAATGAATTCAACAAAGAGTGGACAAGGAGCTTCTACCAGCAACCACCACAAATCTTCCATTTGTTAAAGTTTCTAGAACCGACTGCGATTGGAGGCACCAACAATCTCAAATTTATCAGAAGTATGTATGCATAATTTACAGTACACATATTTTGTTCTATTGTATTATTAATTTCGTTTCCTTGTAGGACTTGGGTACTTTGGATACCACTGATGAAAATGAGAACATTCAGACACCAACTATTGTCGCGAAACGACGCCGTAATGACGATTCGTCGTATATTAAAGTAGTAGAACGCGCTTTGGAGACCATGGAGGAAGCTTCCAAGTCGGATATTTGGGATGACATAGGCAGTTTCATTACAACAAATGGACGCGAGTGGCACACAAAGTTCCCTGCATTAGCTGTCGAATTTAAGACAGAAGTATATAAACTTGTACTCAGATTCCAAGAGAAGGAAACAGAAGCAGAAATACAATTTTTATAATGCTGTAGCAACACATGCATGTGTATAAGTTCTTATTAATTCAACTTTCTTTCGATATTTTTATTTTTCCATTCATTACTGAACTTCATACTCGTAAAATCATTTTGATAATATTATTTTTTCAAGTAATGCATATTTATGTTCATATGTACATATGTATTTACAGACAAACATATGCACTTCCAAAATATGTGCAAGGGGTAGAAATAAAACACTCGCACTTCCGATTTTGAAAGTATATTTACGGTCCTTCTATTTCCTTTTTTTGTCGTTGGTGTTTTCAAAAATATTTCGTTTCAATATTGTGTGCAAGTAAAAGTACATCATTACGGCTGTCTTTTTAAACACATTAATTCAAAGCATCATTATCTTGCATTTCTAAATCATTGCAAAAGTAAAGTTCAATAAGCGGAACCATGCAGAAATACCAATTTGAAATAAAGTTATGCAATTTGGATACTTTTCTCTCATCTGGTATGGAAATAAAAATAAGACTGATGCTTTGCATTGATGCGTTTAAGAATACAGCCATACTGATGTATTGGTACTTACAATTTTTACTCAAACTACAAAAAGATTACTTGCAATTATTTTTAAAAACGCAAACGACAAATTTTATGATATAATATACAGTATTTCAAAAGTAATTGTAATCACCGTAGTTATACCTTTATAATCCGAAGTAGTAGTATTTTAGTACTGACGTTACTTATTTTGTAAGAAGCAAAGCAATATTTGTAAGTACCAAAGCACTTGAACTTATGTAACGGTACTGATCACGATATGTGTGTGTATATGTACATATTATGTATGTGTGCTGCTAGGTACATACATACATATGTATACAAATGATAACTCCATTTTTGATATTTGAGAGTTTTGTTGAGTAAATTGAGTGAAAAATAATAGGTACACGACATTTTGACCAGTTTCTACTATTTTTCTTTTGTTTGTTTCATGCTTATTATTTTTTATAAAAATACAGCTAATTATCTAACAAAAACCAGAAGTCCTAATTTTAAGCTTTGTAGAAAAATTAGAAAAATTCAACAAATGTTTACAACAAAAAAAAACTTTTTATTAAGAATTTCTAGAAAATTTTTTAATATGCAGTTTTATACCCCATTAAATTTTTGCTCAATAAAATGCAGACTTGAAGTGACGAATAATTCGCGTTGATTTTTTATAATCTTTTTTGCTGAGGGTATCAGGCATTTTCTTCCATACAAAGTATGTATGTATGTTCAAAAATTTTGTTTGTATGGCGGAAAATAATACCACCGGCAAAAAAATTATCTAAGATCAACGCGAGTTCTAGA